AATAATAGAGAACAGTAGAGAACAATAGAGAACAGTAGAGAACGGCAGAGAATAATAGAGAACAATAGAGAATAATAGAGAACAATAGAAAACGGTAGATAATAATAGAGAACAATAGAGAACAGTAGAGAACAATAGATACATTCAGTCTTCAGTGTTTGTGACTCACATGTGAACGAGCAGCAGTTCTTCTTCTACAGCCTCTCTGATCTGAAATAAACACACATAGCGCCCCCTTCAGGTACATCACGTAAACATCAATATATAAATATCAAAGTTCAATGTGTGTTTCTCTGTGTAACTGCGATTATTGTTAATTATTCACGTTACTGTTGAAAGGATCAGCAGATCTGAAGTTACTCTTTAATAGAGTCAAACATCTGCTTGGTTCAATCAGTGTTTAGTTGAACTGAAGCAGGAAAACATTCAGAACAACCTTCCAGCTTGTTCTAGGCTGCTTTTATTGTGAAACTCTGAAACAGGAAGTGGTCAGACCTGGACTCTGGTGCACTGAGACAGCAGGTCCTGTCTGTCCAGCTCCTCCATGATGGCCGTCACTCTGTCGGGTCTCTCTGGATGACTGAAGATCAATCAGGACTACCGATTAGTGCCCCGCCCCTTCCTCACATTTATATAAAGTGACATCATGATGTTTACAGAGGACAAGCCCCGCCCCTTCCTCACATTTATATAATGACATCATGATGTTTACAGAGGACAAGCCCACCCCTTCCTCACATTTATATTAAGTGACATGATGTTTACAGAGGACAAGCCCCGCCCCTTTCTCACATCTCTATTAAGTGACATCATGTTTACAGTATATATTGTTCCATAAATTACACAGATTCAAACAATTTAAACTGGATCAAATACTTATTTATCTCTTATGTGTATTAATAACAATAAGAGGAAGGGGGCGGGGCTTACCTGGCATCCCAGAGGTTCTTATGATGAGTGAAGATCTCAGAGTAAACTAGACCTGTTCCTGAGACCTGGGACCTGCTGGACACGTCCTGGAAACACAGACAGACAGAGTAACACACACAGTTGTGTTTTAATTGGTGTCAGCAGGATGTAACGCAACCAGCAACTGATAATAGAGAGGAGTATTATGTGAACTGTGTGTACTGTGTGTACTGTGAGTACTGTGTGTACTGTGAGTACTGTGAGTACTGTGTGTACTGTGTGTACTGGTATCTTCTCACCAGCGTCTGCAGTCTGTCAATCAGATCCTCGTCTGTCTCTCGGCTCCTCTCCATCCTTCCTCTCCTCTTCACCTCCTTCAGGAAGCCTCCTCCTTTCCTTCCCTCCTTTCCTTTACTGCTGCTCTGAAAACACAAACATGTAAACATGTAAACACACCTCAGTGCTGCTGATGAAGACACATCTGTTCATTACAGCTCTGCCTTTATGTTTTCTGCTAAATGTGTGTGTGTGTTACTGTGTGTGTATGTTACTGTGTGTGTGTATGTTACTGTGTGTGTGTATGTTACTGTGTGTGTATGTTACTGTGTGTGTGTGTGTTACTGTGTGTGTATGTTACTGTGTGTGTGTGTGTGTGTTAGTTACTGTGTGTGTATGTTACTGTGTGTGTGTGTTACTGTGTGTGTGTGTGTGTTACTGTGTGTGTTACTGTGTGTGTGTGTGTTACTGTGTGTGTGTGTGTTACTGTGTGTGTTACTGTGTGTGTATGTTACTGTGTGTGTGTATGTTACTGTGTGTGTGTGTTACTGTGTGTGTTACTGTGTGTGTTACGGTGTGTGTCACTGACCTGAGGAGACAGACGAGGAGATCTTCTGACTGACTTTAGACCAGGACCAGGACCAGGATCAGGACCAGGACCAGGAGAATCTGATCCAGACTGCATCTCATGTGAGGGTCAGTAACAGTTGATCAATGACTGATCCAGGATCCTTCACCTCCAAGAGGAAACACATCAATTTAAGAGAATCTAACAACAAGACTTCTGATTCTAGACCATCACTATATGTGCTGGACCTGGGTCTAGGTCTAGTCTCTGACAGTGTTAGCTAACAGCAATGTGATATATTTAATTTTTCATTTATTGATTACAACAATAGGAGGTAGAGAGGCAGACAATCAGTGCACTGTACTTCTCCGTCCGTTCGTCTATCTATCCATTTATCTATCCATCTATCCATCCATCCATCATCTAATAGCGGGTCCTGAACCGCTGCATGTTTCAACTCAACGTCAATAACGAAACATTAAAGTTCAAAGTTCACTGAGATCAAAGCGAACAATAAAGAGACTCACTGCTTCTCTTCTTCTGCTTCTCTTCTTCTGTTTCTGTTTTTCGCTCTGAGCGCCCGATGAACCGTCGCGCCAATCTGACGTCAGCGCTTCGGCGCCACCTGATGACGTCGTCTGGCTCCAGAAACAGGTTCGTAAAGGTTTTATAAAAACATTCTATATTTCTATAACATCTAACATCTAAACCTTTATGTAGAGAATAAGGTGACGTCATGGGAGCGACTGTGGCCAAGTGGATAGCAGGGCCGTCCTTCAATCATAGTCGCATTCAATCATAGTCGCATGTCGATGTGTCCTTGAGCAAGACAATTAACCCCAAAATTGATCCTGTAGCTGTGCCTACGGTGTAGAAATGTGATAGAATCTGAATTGTAAGTCGCTTTGTATAAAAGCGTCTGCTAAATGACTGTAATGTAACGTCACACTTTCATTTGTTTTGATGCTTTTTAATAAAAACTCTTAATAATCTTTGTCACATGAGCTGAAATGGACCAATAGAAACTCTACTTTGTCTCATGTTAACTGTAGTAATATTGGTTCTATATTCATATTAAATATTAATATTTAATATAGAACCAGAGTTTTATCTGTTACAAAGTTAAGAATCTTTGAATTAATGAATTTGAATTGAATTCCCACAAAAATCTTCAGAAATAACAAAACATCATATTTTAATGAAACATCAGTTTGAATCCAACATGAACAAATAATAAAAATATAACACTGACACAAAATGAGATAAAAGAAGAACAAGTTTTAGTTATTATTCACAAGTGTTTCATGGAACAATCTTTAATAAACACAGAATAAATAGACATTATTATTATAGGTTATGTCCCTTCACAATAAAAGTCTTTATTTCAGGACACCTGAAATTGTTTGTTGATTTAAATCAAAAAGACGGAGTTATTTATGTTTCTATAATTCTTTTTTCATATTATTGTATGATTGTGTAACTTGACTGGTGTAGTGACTGAGCAGCATTAAGCTCTTATTGTGAAACGATCATGATGAACATCACACATGTTCTGTTTGTATTTATCCCAAAATGCATTATTGATGTACAGAATATGAAACAATTGATTCTAGTGTTTCATGACTAGTAACGGCTCCCAACAATGGACTTCTGGGTAATGTAGTATTTCAGGAATAAAACAGTATAAAAACAGAGAAAATGATTAGTGTTTATGTACAGATTTATATTTCCTAAATATTCACATTATGAATGAGAATGTAAACATCAGACTCTCAGAACTACAATAAAGCCTGATGACTTAAAACTACAAATTCCATCTGTTCTTTCTGATGAAACGTCATCATTGTCATGAAGGTATCATGGTGTGATGTCATCGTTTTCTCTTCATAACGTCATAAGATCTTTTTCTCAAAATAACAACAGATTGTTTTCTTGTTATTATGATGCATCCATGTTTGTTTCTGTTAGTTTGAGATTAATTTAAAAGAGAAACGTTGAATAAGTCCAGGGAGCTGTCCCTCAACCTGTCTGTCCCTCAACCTGTCTACCTTTCTGTCTACCTGTCCGTCCACCTGTCTGTGTTTCTACCTTTCTGTGTCGTTGTATGTCTTCTTGTCTATCTACCTGCCTGTCTACCTGTCCTTGGCAGAGCGCAGGTCCGTTGTGATTGGGTCGTGTTGGATGGTCTGGTGCAGCATCAGAGCCAATAAACCGGCTCGATTCGTCATCGCTGTCCTCAGATTCCTCTCCTGCTCAAACAGCTCGTCCAGCTTATACCACTGAGAGAGAGACATAAAGGGGGTAAGAGAGAGACAGAGATTCAAAAAGAGAGAGAGAGAGAGACAGAAAGGCAGAGTCAAAGAGAGAGACAGACAGAGAGACAGTGATTATTGTGTTTTGGACACCAGTCCTTCCAGTGATGTTAATGAAGGTTGTTGTCAATAAAGGTTATTGTTGTTAATGAAGGCTGTTGTTAATGAACAACAGCCTCCATTAACAACAGCCTTTATTAACAACAGCCTCCATTAACAACAGCCTCCATTAACAACAGCCTCCATTAACAACAGCCTCCATTAACAACAGCCTCCATTAACAACAACCTTTATTAACAACAGCCTCCATTAACAACAGCCTTCATTAACAACAGCCTTCACCTCTATAGCCCTAGCCCTATTTTTAGGCCTCTGCTCGAAAATTGCATACCCATACTTAAAGACTGTAGATCTGAAACTACAAGGTCTATTTTAATAATTTTGATGGTATAATACAGGTAAAACATGTGAGAGACTTGTGAGATGTGTAAATATTGTGTATATGTTACTGGTTAATAGTGAATGAAGATGCGCACAGCTCAAATTGAAAAGTTTTTATTGAACATTATTTTTGAAATAATGCAGATTGAAGCCTAAAAATACTCCACAGTCATAGCACAACAGGTTTGTGGTCTCTCCAAGCTAATTTTACTTAGATTGAGTGAAGCAGGCCAGCATAAATGAGGTCTGAGTACAGAATTTCAAGTCGAATTCTCATTTTTGGAACCAGCTTTTGCGCTGCTCTATTCTAATTTTATAAACTATAGAACTACATATTAACTATATATTCACTTGCTTTATCACTAAGAGTGTTCAATACATCATAATAAAGCAGTTTGGCATCATTTTCAGCAATGTTCAGATATTTTCAGCTGTCATATCTCTCATCCATGAAAAAATCTCCTCTCAGTCTGTGTCTCTTTAAGCCTTTGGTAAGGCCTGTGATTGGCGGATTTCATCATGTGACACCTTGTTGAACGCGGAAGAGTGTAACTAACGCACTACGCGGGTTATTTCGAAGATTGACAGCCTTTTAGTCACTCAAAATCGAGATATGCTTGGCCCAGCCCCTATGCGTAAAATCCATTGGTCCAGCAGAAAACTGCTGGCCATTTCCTCATAGAAGGTGCCAGCACGAAAATCACCAAAAGGTATGCTGACTTTCAATTTTTTTCTGGAGAGCAGTGTATGATTTGTTGGCTTTTGTCATGTAACTTTTGAATGGTTTGACGGAGGTCAATTTGGACACGTTGGGTCGACGCCGTATCGAGCCCTAGTGCGAAATCATGTATCCATCCGCCATGATCGCTGCCGGCTTTGTGATGAAAGATGAATTTCGGGTGCATAGTTTGCCGATTTCTTTGGAGAAAAATCCTGATTTTATGATAAATCTTCTAGTTTATTGAATTAGTTTGTGTATACCTGTGTATAATTGTGTAAAATGGCTGGCATGATGATTTTGCCCAGACTTTTTTTGTTAATTCGGTATTTAATATTTCTGGAGTATTTTTGATATTTCTTGATGAAAAGTCCATTCGGAACCACGGTACCGGTACTCGAACCCCAAATGGGGCTCGGTCGGGCTATAGATTATTAATAAAGGTTGTTGTTATTAAAGGCTGTCGTTATTAAAGGCTGTCGTTAATGAAGGCTGTCGTTAATGAAGGCTGTCGTTAATGAAGGCTGTTGTTAATAAAGGCTGTTGTTAATAAAGGCTGTTGTTAATAAAGGCTGGTGTCGTTAATGAAGGCTGTCGTCGTTAATGAAGGCTGTCGTCGTTAATGAAGGCTGTCGTCGTTAATGAAGGCTGTCGTCGTTAATGAAGGCTGTCGTTAATAAAGGCTGTCGTTAATAAAGGCTGTCGTTAATGAAGGCGTTAATAAAGGCTGTTGTTAATGAAGGCTGTGGTTAATGAAGGCTGTGGTTAATGAAGGCTGTGGTTAATGAAGGCTGTGGTTAATGAAGGCTGTGGTTAATGAAGGCTGTTGTTAATAAAGGCTGTTGTTAATAAAGGCTGTTGTTAATAAAGTTACCACTCGGACTCTCTCCAAGTCGACCTCAGCACGGCGAAGTTTCTCCCAACAATAATGTTTGTTACATTTCCTCTTCGACAGACGGCAAAACTCTCCAGTCGGCTCAAACACGTCTTTCACCAGAGGACACCCACACACCTCGTCTGCTGGGATCTGACAGGGAGACAGGGAGAGAGACAGACAGGGAGAGAGATCAGTGGATCACTTTCATATTGTTATATTTCATATTGTTATATTGTTATATTTCATATTGTTATATTTCATATTGTTATATTGTTACATTTCATATTGTTATATTGTTATATTTCATATTGTTATATTTCATGTTGTTATATTGTTACATTTCATATTGTTATTTTGTCATATTTCATATTGTTATATTGTTATATTTCATATTGTTATAGTTCATATTGTTAT